GCTCCTATCGAGTACCACCTAATGTGTGTGGCTGTCGTCATAGCAACCGAGGGTCCCATGACATCGTGAGTATGCGACACGAAGGAGGTCGAGGCGCCGACATACCTCCTGCTGGGTCTGCGGCTCACACGCTGTCGTTTTGGCAGTTTTGTGATGTTTGATCATTTAAACGTCGGACGATTTTATTTTGTTTTTATTACTTTGACTCTTTGAGGACCTGCAGAAGCCTCATGATTATTAAAACCAGCCAATAATAAAGTTTTAAACCAATCAGCAGAAGGGGCGTGCTCGGCTCTGATGGGCCAGCGTACGAGACCCCGCCCCCTCGCACCCATGACCTCACAGCGACTGACCAGCGGCTCCAGGTGCGGCAGACCCTCATGCAGACGCAGAGCTCTCTGTGACTCAGGAAGGTGAAGACTCGCAGCCACACGTCCCGTGTCATGATGTGGGCGGTGCCAGAGTCCAGCGGCAGGCAGCTGGGCTCGGGGCACGCCGGCGGGGGACGCACCAGGTGCCTCTCCATCTGCACGGGGCGGGGAGGCGAGGGTACGGCCGGCGGGCTGCGCTTCATCATCTGAGAGCGAGGGCCGAGGCGGGACGGCTGCGAGCAGGGGGACGCCGCCATGGCTGACATCATGAGTCCGCTGGCCCCGCCCCCCCCGCCGTTGGAGGTGGGGATTGAGGAGGAGGAGGAGCTGTTTCGAGACGTCTGGTTCTTGTTGTTTCGGATCTTGTTGCCACGGTTGCCGCTACCTTTGGTCCCCCCCGCTCCACCGTGTCTGTGATTGGTCAGAGCTCCGCTGGCGTTCTCCTTCTCCCCGCCCCCTCCTCCCCCCGTGCCTCCACGTGTCCGTCCGTTGCGCGCCTCCTGCCCGTTGCTGCGCTGCTTCCCTGTGAAGCCGTCGTGCTGCGAGGATGGAGCCATCTGACTGGAGGACAGCGGCGAGGGCGGGGGCAGGGAGGCGGAGTTTTTCCTGGTCCTGTCCAAAGTGGGCGTGTCGTCATCCTCTCCATCCATCAGCCCGCCTTTGCGTCCCCTCTGAGACAGCCCCGCCTCCCCTCTCCGACGGGACTTGTCTCCCCCCGCCGGCTCGTCCTCCCGCTCGTCCTCCTCGCCCCTCCCTCCCTCGCCCTCCGACTCCTCGCTGGCACTGAAGCCGAGCTCGGCCAGACGCCGCTCCCTCTCCCTTCTCTCCCGCTCCGCCCGACTGCCGCTGCTGTTGCTGTAGACGACGGGAGGGGGCGGGGCCGGCGAGGACGAGGACGGGGAAGACACCCTCCCCTGCTCCCCCCTCAGGGAGTCGTCGGAGTCGGACTCCGAGTCGGACTCTGAGCTGGAGGACGAGGACGAGGAGGAGGAGGGCCGGCGCTCCAGCATGCACATCCTCTTGAATCGTTCCAGTTTCTCTCTGTGATGGGAACGCTGGTCGGCGCTCGACGTCCCGCCCACACCGCCGCCTCCTCCGGGCTGCGAGGAAGATGAGGTGGAGGAACCCTGCCCCCCTGAGGCTCCGCCCCCAGAGGAGGAGGGGCCATTGGACTCCGCCGCCTCCTGTTTGGGTTTCTGATGAGAGAAAAGACGACGCGTCAGAGAAAGCGGGCGGTAACCGAGGACATCACGTGGTTAGCGGCGTCTTACCTTCTTCAGGCGCTTCTCGTGGCCTCCTTTCATCTGAGGAACAAACAGGAAGCAGATCGATTACATCATTAGTGTCATTAACAGCAGATTGGAGAGGCAGCTGTGCTCTGGCTCCGCCTCCAGTCTTAAATCTGAGCACGTTAAACGCCTCAGATCAATAATCTATAATCAACTCGTTCAATCTCAGGTCACCTTCTTCTTGGGCCCGCTGTCCGCAGGCAGCTCCTTCTCCTTCTTCCTCTTGTGCCCGCCCTCCTCTGAGGTGGGTGGGGCTTTCTTTTTAGGAGGCGGGTCATCGGTGAGCTTCCACCGGCCCACCTCGCCATTATCCAGCCTGCGTTTGCCCGAGCCGTCCGCCTGGTCCTGCGCACAAACAGAAGCAGGGTTCAGCCTATCCGAGCGCACCGCTGCCCCGAACCCGTCCCCTGTACTGGTCCCACTCTCACCTTACTGGTTTTGCCCTCCTTGTGGCACTTCGGACACTCCCAGCAGTTCGGGATCTCGTCGTTGATGATTCCTTCAGCTTTGCCCATCTGAGGACAAAAGGCAGCACACATCAGCACATCTGGAAACATCAGCACATCTGGAAACATCAGCACATCTGGAAACATCAGGACGAGCAGCGAGTGGCTGCAGAGGAGGAGATGCTAGCAGCTCCACACGACTGCGGGTCATGCGATGGAGCCGCCGCGAGGAAATATCCTCAGTTTGTTACAGCGACTAATTTCCACCACGTCAGCCGACTCAGACAGCTCAGGTCTGTTTTCTTCTCCCAGTTCCAGATCAGAGCTACGGTGGCTGCTGCTGGACAAACTTGGCTCTCACAGATTAGTTATCATTCATTTAAGGAGTTTTTGGAATTACGCTGTTACAGGCACCTTTATGAGCGCCACGTGTTACTCACGTCCTGTTGGAGCCCGGGAACGTTAGCTTGCTATTTGAATGTATTTAACCTGATCATGTGACCAGCGTGCAGCTGCTGAACACTTACAAGGTTACACAGATTAAACGTTGCTGAGTCACTGCTGCTTTCAGTGGACTCGCTCTGAGTCAGGAAGTGACAGCAGCTCACTGAGGAGGAGCGCCTCTGTTTGGTTTGTTCGTGTGGATTAATGCTGCCGCGCACAGATGAAAGGCCATCAATCTGAGGCCTGCACAGCAGCCACAGAGGGCGAGCCGAGTGAAACCAGAAGATAAAATGAGGAGCGATCGATTGCAGGTTTTTGTTTTCAGGACAGTAAGAAGCCAGAATGAAGCCCCGTGTCTGCACGCCAGCAGCATGCTGGGTGTCTGCACGCCAGCAGCATGCTGGGTGTCTGCACGCTGACGTGCAGCCCGAGTCCCAAACATCTGGATCCGAGTGCGTCTCTGTGTCGAGCACAGATCTCCGTCCTCGTTCACAGCTCAGAGCTCTGCTGCATCGACCCAGTTTTTCCTCAGCATCATTAAACTTTCATTCACAGGAAACAAACCAGCATTTCAAAATAAAAGCCCTTTCCAGGCAAACTGACCTTGAGGCAGCTGGGGTGGATGATCTCGTTGCAGATGGTGCACTCCATCAGCGAGAGGCTGAACTTCTCGTCCTCTGAGTCCACCGTGTCCTCCTTCCCCGCCTCTCCACACGCAAAGCACACGGCTGTGTGAGGCAACACCGGCTACAGACGGGTGAGACAGACGGGTGAGACAGACGGGTGAGACGTGCACAGGGGGGTAAAAACAGAAACGTGCTGACAGTTAAAGACGTGGATGCAGATGTTGTGGGAGGCGAGTACCTGAATGAACCACACAAAGCTGAAACCTTTAGAGCGCTAACGTCTGCTCCTGCTTCCTAATCTGAACATCTCTCAGAGAAACATCTGGATCTCAGAGCAGGTCGATCAGGCCCACAGGTGAGGGGCCGACTCCTTCCTGTGACCCTCCTGACCTGCTCAGGGCTCAGTCGGGATCTGATTGATCGAGTTCTTCTCCTGCACATCCTGCAGGTGGGCCGTCCCCCTCGGGGCGTTCGTCTGGCCGCTCTGGCCTCCAACACTGTGCGGTTATTGATCCGAGAATCGTGGAGCTCTGCTGTGTTTGGGTCTGTAGCCTGTTTTCAGTGACCCTTGGCTGCATCGCATTTTGCTTTTTTAAAAACATGATCATGCAAACTTTTAAAGTCGAGCAGGTCACCAAAAGGACAACAGCACAGACGCATGATTTTATTTTCGTGTTTCATGTACTCAGAAACAACAGATGTTTTTTGTGTCATGGTCAGAAACACCAGGAGAACGATTCACACATCGAACCCACTGAGGGTGGTCGACCCCCCAACACCCGCTCAGACCCAAACGGCTCGTGATGACTTAAAGAGGCGATGAGCTGCAGGTCGCCAGGTCACTGCTCGACCTCAGTGAGGCAGCAGCACTCAGAACACCTGCAGCTGCTGCTCATCCTCTCAGCAGACACCAGGGGGCGTCGCTGCTCCTGCTGAGGGAGCATCTTCCTAACCTGCACCCCCCTCCTCCTCCTCCACACAAAGCTCCAACAACAGATAAATAAATCTCCATCGATGTGAGCCGTAGACCGTCTCACTGTGTGTGTGTGTTTTAAGCATCTCTGTGAAATGGCAATGGATCAAAGCCAACTCGCTCTCACTCACAGTGCCAGCAACCATCACTGGTTGCCACGGAAACCCAGCATCATCGCCCGCTGGGCTCTTGGCTGATGCCATTTGAAGAATCGACACACAGAAAGAAGAATACAGCACATCTTCAGCACGCACACCTGTGCACGGGTCGCGTTCTCGCCGTCAGGGACAGCAGCAGGTGTAATGGAGGACCGCGTTGACATGGAAACCTGTTTAACCGTTACTCAGGCTGCACATCTGAGCATAAATAAGTGGACGGGCTCCTGCAGCGTGGTTTTCATGAGCTGAATGTTTCTGGATGATGCAGCGCTGCTGAGACTGAACATGCATGCACACTGCAGCTAACACGCCTCCGTGGTCTGCTCGGTCACATGCTTCTGACAAACCGCTGAGCTGGGTCTGACTCCAGCTGAAGGCTTCAGAGGTCAAAGGGCATAATATTCATCAATCATTGCTTCTTATCAGTCGAAGCCACAGTGGTACCTGAGCGTACAGAGCCTGAGGTCCGACCGCGCAGACGTACCTGCAGACGAACTGAACCTGATCTGACAGTCTGTGGGAGGGGCTTTCTCGCTGGCCGGTGTGCCAGCGGTGGCGAGGACCGCTGAGCGAGCCCTGCGAGATTTGACGTGTCTCCTGCTGGTTTGCGTAGGTCACGTGTTACTGACATGTTTGGGCTAAAAGCACAGGTCACCCTTCAGTCTGCGAGCCGCACACGTTCCTGCTTTCTCGGCTGATGGTTGCTGGACGCAGCGAACATCAGCCAACGGTGACGCGTGTGACAGAAGCACGTCCACTTCACTGTGACTATTACACAAACACTGTCAGGGTTAAACAGGAGCTCTGTGTAAGAGCTTTCCGAGGGATGCAGGTCAGACAAAGAAGACTGATTCTGAACCGAATCATGCAAAGCTGCTGTGTCTAACAATGAGGATCTGTAATGTATTTTAAGGCCAGTGTGGTTCATGTTTAGGTCTCGGCTGTCGTGTCGTGTGTGCGTCTCACCGCCGTGCACTGTCTCAGGAGGCAGGACTGCTTCATGCGACCGGGCCCGCCAAACTTCTTCATGTCCTTGCAGAAGTGACACTCGCCGCACTCCGTCCTCATGCAGGCCTGGCAGCGCCGGCACCGCGTCCGCCTGCGCCTCGCCCCCCCGCCGGCCCCCCCGCCCAGCGCCTTACTGCCCGACATCACCGAACAAGTCAGCTGGAAGCAGAGAGAGCGAGAGGACAGATATGAGCATGTGGGACAGCAGCAGACGATCCCTGTGGAGGTAGAAACATTTACAGCATGTAGATCAACGCCTCACAACACCTGTTTCTAACTCACCTGTTTCAGTCCTATTAAGGCTAAAAGTTTGCATTATTAGGGGCGTGGTCTCTTTGACTGACAGGCTGTCTGCTAGCTTCACCTGAACTGGACCTGCTGTCAGAGCCTTTTAATGACATCATCACACCAATAATGTGCTGATCAAACATCTGGACTCATCGAGACGCTTTTTTAAACCCAACAAACACTTTGTTTTATTCCTGAAACGTTACAGATGGACTGAAGTCGTCGGACGTGTTAAAGAAGTTTAAACGGCTGGAACAGAATGTGCGTCTCACAAAATGAAATTTTGAAAAATGAAAATTAAATCAGCAGAAACTCGTCTGAGGTTCAACAAAAAGAAAAACATTTTTCATATCATAAGGACAGAAAGTCATGAAATTAACTGGTGATTTGAATACGACTGGTTTAAAACACCCTCTGAGTTTTCAGTGTTTGGATGTTTATTCGTTTTTGGATGTTTCCTGTGTTCTCTGTCAGGATGACCTCACACTGCAGGTGCGGGCTCTGACGAGGCCCATCCAGGTGTGCGTTCCCTGGACTGGCAGTGACTCAGGCTGGAAATGAGCTCAACCCAGGACAGCACTTCCACCGTGCTTCACAGGAAACGGTCAGGTACGAGGAACAGAGTGAGAAAGCAGTCAGTGTCCACAGAACAACTTCAGAAACTGGGCGACTGATGCTCAAGAGCACTTTAGAAGGTACAACAAGGTCTGGCTGCTC